TAAAGCAGGGGCCATCGCCGTGTGGCCGAGACTTTCATCCCCAAAGCACATCCTGCAGAAAATACCTTTTTAGTGTGCCCCGTTCTGCAGCTTTCTTGGCTGGGTTTGGCTAACGATGGTTTGGATTGTGGTTTAGTTAAGGGGATGGGTAACGCGGGCTGATCTAAAGGCAACCCATTCTAGGAAATGGCTTGGTGGGGGGACAATCTGGGCTAGGAACTCTGCAAATTCTGGGGAGAAATTCTTCGTAATTGTTGACCATTTTTATCCCAAAGCTTCCAATCCTCCTATCGTCCATCCAATCCCCTGTTTCTCCAAAATGATTCTCCTCAATAATAAAATCGGGGCTGAGATTTGCTTCCCAATCTTGGGATTGGGAGAAAATGCAGGGGAAGAAGGGAGGGGCCAATTTAAGGACATTTGGTGGGGAAAAAGACACGGTGCATTTCAGAAGGACGGGGAGCGTTGGAGGGGAGCCGTGTCACTCTACGGTAGCCCAAAATCTGGAGGATCTTTCCGTCGAACAAATAGCGTTAAATGTCGTGAGCTAAAACCTGTGAATCGGGAAAGGTGCCCCCAAACGCCTTCTGATTTAAAGCAAAGGAAAGCCTTGGTTAATTTAATAAGTACGCACAGGTTTACGTTGTTTGATTGCGTGTCGCAGATATTGCGTTGATCGAACAGCATCGCAGGCCGCCGAGAAATCTTCCGGGAAAGGAAGAATCCATCGGCGTGTGGCAAACGTCACCATTCTCTTATTTTAAGAAATGCTTTCATTATGGTATGTACATCGTTCTTTTAGACACAATGCTGTTGCACACTTAATAGACTACAGTATAGTGCAGACAGACCTTTTATATGCCCTGGGAAACCCCAAAATTCACATGACTCGCTTTATTGTGCTATTCACTTTATTGCGGGGGTTGAAAACTGAACCCACAATATCTCTGAGGTACGCCTGTAATAACTATGATGTCTGTCGTGAGTCTGAGACGCACCTTAACACCTGAGGAACTGGGTTCACCCAACGCACAGACTGTGCTTGGCTTAATTGTGGTTTGTTGGGAAAAGCCACCTTCGGCTGGGCTCCAAGCCCTAACTGGACAAACCATGGTTAGTATGATGAGGGAGCCTGTGGAAACATCATCTGCCTTGAAACTTCATGGATTAATTTAATCTTTAAAATGCAGCAGCGTGCTCTGTTGTTTGGGCAGCAAAGTTCCTCCCTTTTGAAATCGTTTTTATAATATTGCTCTGTCCACTAAGAAAAAAAAAATGCAAGCCTTACGGTGCCAGACAGACTTTAAATTGCTTCCCGTTCAATCGAGAAGTGTATTAGCAGAACAAAGCAATATATTTTATATTGCTCTGAAATATCTTCCCATTATCTTCCGGGGAGTTCCTATGGGAATTGGACATGGGAGAGGAAACAGAAGTGAGAATTTTGTCTGACTAGACCCACGTTTGACCTGACAAATTAAAATTATCCTAAATTATTTGGTATCCTAAATCCTGCTGGAGCGTGTCTGCCTCTGTCTGTAAAATTACCTCTGTAAAAGGTAATTATTTTCTTTGCAATTTCTGCTGCGCAAAGAGAGCTGAGCACGGCTTGCAGGAGAGCATGCCATTCTGCAAAATAGCTGTTTTTTGATTCAGGATTCCCAACAAGACTTCTCTTTCCAAACAGCGACATGAACCGTAAGATAATGGCCACTGGCTGAAAAGAAAGGAAAGGAAGGAATGAAGCAAAGCAAAATAGAAAGAAATTAAGAGAGCCGAAGATCAGAAGATTTATTTGTTCGGCTTGGAATTGATCCTTCCAAACCTGAGTTGATATATTCCACTAAGCCACAGTGTAGCCAAGAGCTATGATTCTTGGCTTAGTGCAAGGTGCATGAACTTTATGCTGTATGGACTCCAATTCCCAGAATTCCCCAGCCAGCTGGCTGGGGAATTCTGGGAGTTGAAGCCCATACAGCTTAAAGTTGTCAAGGCTGAGAAACACTGCCATATAGGATTGAAGACCGTGGTGTTTCTTTACAGAAATGTAATTCTTCCTTGCTTTCCTTAATACGGTGGAAATAGACTTCAGTCGATCCTGGATTCGAAATCATATCAGATTTGAATTAGACCCACCCATCCCGTTGAAAGAACCCTGAAAATGAACAAAAAATGGGGGTATTCCCTTTGCACGCTGATCGGCAGATTTCAACCTTGCCAAACCCTTCGTTTTTTAAAATGTAACATTTACGTCTCGTTTATTGATTTATCTTGATATGACTACAAACCTCAGCCCAGCACACCTATCTTCCCCCAAACTGCAGCAATGTTGTGAAATAAATGAGAATTTAAAAAAAAAATCTCTTTTTTTTATATAAATTTTTTATTTTTTACAACAAACACAAACAAACAATAGCATAAAAAACATAAAAAACCATCTTCCATTTTAAACCGTGTGTCAGCCAGTTACCAACCATTTGTGCCATCCTTTCATAGTCTTCACTCACCATTTAGTTTCTATTATACAATTTGCTGATCTATTACATTACTATATCTTTTCATCCAACCATTGATAAAACAGATCCCATATCATATAAAAAAAAAATCTTATACCTCTCTGGGTGGTTTAAATCGACCCCTCTCCTTATCTCAATCTTCGCTTCTCGCTCTTGGATTCTAGAAATCCTCTTCTGGGGCCGGGGATGTTCCCAATCAAGGGACACCGTTTGGAGACTGGGTTTTGGAAATAGGAAAAGAACTTGGTGATTTATAGGAAGCAAACATCCTTAATTTCTCGGAGTGTACCTTTTCCAGTCCAAACATCCTCCTGATGCAATTAACATAATGCAACTTAATTTCCCTCCTATCCCCAATGTTGAACGAGGGGAGTTATTTTTACCGTGTTTCCTAGTGAAGTGCATTGAGCCGTCGGAACATAGACCGCAGCAAGGCGAACGGGGGCGATTTCCTGGTTTTATTTAAAATGGGCCAACGGATCACGTTTTAGGAACCCCATATTTCCAAATCAGCACTGAAAAGTTCGATCCAGCTGTTCCTTACCAAAATGGGCGACGGGAAAGAAACGTGCTGAGTTTTATTAGCGTTAACATCCTCAGCAACACGGAGGCTTTAAAAAAAATCTTCATGGAGTGCCAAAATTGGCCTGGGGAACTCCAAGCCTCCGGATGGAACGACCTGGTTTTAAACATTAGGATGAAATGTACTGTAATGGTGGAGATTAGAGACAAGTAGTGGGTGAAAACTGGAATGCAGTGACGTTTAAAGCAGGGATGGGCAATTTTAAAAAAAATGTCATGGAAGGTCACATTCCCTTGGGGGTAATGTAACAGGGTGATATGCCTGAATACGGATAGATTTTCTGCAAAGGACTTAAGAAATTAGACGGGGATTAAGGGTGAATATCCAACTTTGGGCCAGAATGTTAAACTGAGGCACAGGAGGACCAGGTTCAAATCTCTGTTCAGCTAGGGTGACATGGGGTCAATTACTGTTTTTGTCATGCTCTTCCTCACAAGAATGTAATTTCAGAAATCAGGCTTGATAATAGAAGAGAGCCTCCATCTATAAAGGCAGTCTACCTCTGAACGTTAGAGGCCAGCAAGAGGAGAAGGCTGTTGTGTTTTGCAGGATAAATCTGAGATTCGTCTAGAAGGGCAGTTTTCAGACAACCTTTCTAATACACCAGGTTGGGCGATTGACTGTTCACCGAATATTGCTGGATGATTGGAGTGGGGGAATTGAGGGAAAGTGGGAATCTTTAAAAATAAACAAGCAAGCCACAGATGCTCTCTGTTTGCTTACATGTAAAGGTGAAAGGAAGGAAGGAAGGAAGGAAGGAAGGAAGGAAGGAAGGAAGGAAGGAAGGAAGGCAGGAAGGAAGGAAGGAAGGAAGGAAGGAAGGCAGGAAGGAAGGAAGGAAGGAAGGAAGGAAGGCAGGAAGGAAGGAAGGAAGGAAGGAAGGAAGGCAGGAAGGAAGGAAGGAAGGAAGGAAGGAAGGCAGGAAGGAAGGAAGGAAGGAAGGAAGGAAGGCAGGAAGGAAGGAAGGAAGGAAGGAAGGAAGGCAGGAAGGAAGGAAGGAAGGAAGGAAGGAAGGCAGGAAGGAAGGAAGGAAGGAAGGAAGGAAGGCAGGAAGGAAGGAAGGAAGGAAGGAAGGAAGGCAGGAAGGAAGGAAGGAAGGAAGGAAGGAAGGCAGGAAGGAAGGAAGGAAGGAAGGAAGGAAGGCAGGAAGGAAGGAAGGAAGGAAGGAAGGAAGGCAGGAAGGAAGGAAGGAAGGAAGGAAGGAAGGCAGGAAGGAAGGAAGGAAGGAAGGAAGGAAGGCAGGAAGGAAGGAAGGAAGGAAGGAAGGAAGGCAGGAAGGAAGGAAGGAAGGAAGGAAGGAAGGCAGGAAGGAAGGAAGGAAGGAAGGAAGGAAGGCAGGAAGGAAGGAAGGAAGGAAGGAAGGAAGGAAAGGAAGGAAGGAAGTTTTATTTCACCATTGCTATAAGTTATAGGCATCTCTATCTGTTTGATATGACAGCAAACTCATTTTGCGCACAGGTTAGATGGTGCTAATCAAACATCATTACTGACTTTTCAACCTTTTCTACAATTGCCACAGACCTCCACAACTGCCTCTTGCCAACTGTGAGGGCTCAAAGATTTTTTCTCTCTCTCTCTCCTTTCTAAAATCCCTGCAGTGACATCTGCTACTCTTCCTGCTTAACCTTCTACTCTCCCTTGGTTCCTGTGCAACCTTGGTGAGCGTGTGCTAAGCTTGCAAAAATGATCTGGTCGATGCTTTTCTCAGCCAAATCATCTTTCTGCTTCGTTTGCAGAAGGAGACATCCCTCCCCAGCATTCCAGGTGTGACCACATAAACCATAAGGAAGATGAGCAGCTTAGAAAACAGAACATATCTTGCACAAAAACAGTCCCACTGATAAAAACTTAGTTTGAAACTAAGGAGGGATCCATTTCGTTAGCTCTATTCCATTTAGAAGCATGAGGACTAGAATCTTTCTTGATCTTTAAGGGAGGCTTAAAGGTCAGCCTCTGAGATAGAGCATCTTCTTTGCATGGAATAGATTTGAACCCAGCTGCTAAAGTAGGGTTAAGAAAAAGCTCAGTTAAAAACCTTGAAGGGTGTGTTGCGAATCAGAGCTTGGGCTGAGACATCACGTCAGCCGTTCAATAAACGGCGATTAAACCACGCACAGCTTGGAAAGGCAGCACCAGCCCTTTACGGCCGTGCAAAACTGCCTTACAGATCTGTCCACATTTTTCTCATCCTTTCGTCAAAGATTACTGTTTGCTTAAGCAGATAAAGACATTTCTGTGTTGATTGTTGAAGTAGTGATTTCCCCAAATTCAAGTGACAGAGTCCAGATGTAGTCCTGGGAAAGGGACCCCAAAGTTTAGAAACTTTGCAACTTA